CATAACATACGCATGCTGATGACAGCAAAACACCATCTCTCAATCTGATAGCTTCCTACAGGTGCATGCAAATGTTAAGCAGCATGTGATAAGGGTGAGGTGCAATCCTGTGCAACACTAAAGGCTGAAGCCTCAACCGTAAATCACCCAGGACCACATTCCGTAATTGCCTATCAGGAAGAATAGAAAACTCTGCTAAATAGTACCCCTTATCCTTATAACACAGATTTGTCAGTCTTTAGTTTGCCTCCGTAGCTAATAGCAAAGCCAAAGGGTTGTCACTGAGTACATTAATTCACTCTGATTTGGAATAAAAGTGGGAGAGACTTGGGAGTTTTGATGGGCATTTCTTTTGTGTGCATGTACATTTGCATTCATATATTCCTTCTTAGTGAGCCATTTACAAGAGATGTGATGCTGTCGACTTATTTATGATCACTCTTCAGGAGTACTTAATGTAACAAGGGCAACATATCAAAACACTGCTCAAGGGTTTGTGGGGATTTGTTCTCGTCTGGTGTCATTCTTCTGCTTCCATGTGGTATTATTTCCCTGAAACCCTGGAGAGCTGCTCCCGATCATTGCATACAATGCCAAGCTATATGGACCAGTGATCTGACTTGGTAGAAGGCAGCATCCTGTGTTGAATCTGAAGAACCCCAAGGACTCCAAATCATACAGAGAAGCTCCATAAGCAGAAAAGATTCCTCACGGCAGAAGTATATCCAAACACAGGGAAGCTGTGGGGAAGCACTGGGCAGCTGAGTTTCCTTGAAGAAGTGAGAAGACTCAAGAGGATGAAGGTCAGTTGGATGATATGCCCATCTAGCACTTGTAGCACATAGTTTATGCTTGGTTCTTGCTGCTAAGCCAGCAGCTAACCATTCTCCCTTGCAGTGGACAGCAGCCTATTTAAGACTGTAAAAATGTTGCCTGGCCAGCTGATGCTGCCTCACAAGTCCTGTAGAGTAAATGGAACTCTTTATCGCCACATACCAAAGCAAGAATTTAATAAAATAAATATCCTTTCTAAAGACCAACATAATTGTTTTATTTTTCTATGTCTCTGCCCCCGAAAAAAAAGTCTTACCAGATTGTACCAGAGTACAATCTTCTGTGTTCCATTGTGATCAGTGGATAAGTATTTTTAAGTTGGCAGTCCTATGACAGAATCCCATGCATACTTACTTGGAAAGAAGTACAAGTGAATTCAAGAGGCTTCCGCTCAGGGAATATGGAATTGCAGACTTAATCCCAGCTTCAGGGCTTCAGAAACACAACAGTATACTTCTTAGCATTTGCAACTCTCTGTACTCTTCATAATTTATTCCATTAAGGCAGGGATGGGGAACTTGTGGACCTCCAGATATTGTTGGGGTACAAATCCATTCATCCCTGACCAATGGCCATGCTGGCTGGACCTGCTAGAAGTTGTTCCAGTCTAGCAACATCTGTTCCCCATTCCTGCCTTAGGTAAAGGTAAAGGAACCCCTGCCCGTACGGGCCAGTCGTGTCCGACTCTAGGGTTGTGCGCCCATCTCACTTAAGAGGCCGGGGGCCAGCGCTGTCCGGAGACACTTCCGGGTCACGTGGCCAGCGTGACGAAGCTGCTCTGGCGAGCCAGCACCAGCGCAGCACACGGAAACGCCGTTTACCTTCCCGCTATAAAGCGGTACCTATTTATCTACTTGCACTTAAGGGTGCTTTCGAACTGCTAGGTGGGCAGGAGCTGGGACCGAAAGATGGGAGCTCACCCCGCCGTGGGGGTTCGAACCGCCGACCATGCGATCGGCAAGCCCTAGGCACTGAGGTTTTACCCACAGCGCCACCCGCGTCCCTAGGTAAAGGGACCCCTGGCCATTAGGTCTAGTCGTGGCCGACTCTGGGGTTGCGGCGCTCATCTTGCTTTATTGGCCGAGGGAGCTGACGTACAGCTTCCGGGTCATGTGACCAGCATGACTAAGCCGCTTCTGGTGAAACCAGAGCAGCGCACGGAAGCACCATTTACCTTCCCGCCGGATTGGTACCTATTTATCTACTTGCACTTTGACGTGCTTTCGAACTGCTAGGTTGGCAGGAGCAGGGACCGAGGAACGGGAGCTCACCCCGTTGAGGGGATTCGAACCGCCAACCTTCTGATCGGCAAGTCCTAGGCTCTGTGGTTTAACCCACAGTGCCACCCACGTCCCTGCCTTAGGGCACAATAATTCATTTGTACTTCGGGGTTGCCACCTTTCTGCTGTCATTTGGAAATTTGCCCATATTTTCTTCATAAGACCAAAAGTTTGGAGTGTGCTGTGCTGGCTTTTTTCAGACAATTTCAGAATCACGAATGAAGTGAATTTTTCAGCCCATAGAAAGGGATAGTTTATCTGAGGAGGGGACCCCCACACCCTTCAGTAGTACCTGTAGACCCAGCTTAATTACTGATTTAATGATTTCAGCTGTCCTATGTCTATAGCTTGTTCATCATGCAGTGGTGCACAATGCTCAGCCTAGTCCTTGGAATAGCATGCTAGCATCAAGGATTTGTCCAACCGAGAAAGAATACAGAAATGTAATCCCCCCAACCCCTCTTTATATAGTATTTATTCTGGCTTCATAACGTTTCCCTTCTGTGCCATTATTACTATGATTTGCCTGCACAGAAATGTAGAAACTACAAAAGCATGAAAGCTCAACAATCAGACATACATTTCCCCATAGCAGTCCCATTGGCTGACTGCTGCTGGAAGGCTCATGTAAACGTTCTGTCTGATTTATGTTTTTCAGTAGAATTTCTGCTTCTAACAACATGATGTCAGGTTACGTATTTCTGAAGATACCCAGCCTTTCTGTGTGTTGTGCTTTCACTGTGAAGTGGCCTTTCTCCACCTTCCACACCACAATTTCCAAGATTTGGAGAAATGCCAAATACAGAAGCCATCTCTTGTCAAACTGCAAATCTGTTGCCTTCAGTTTCCAGGCATATGCGGGAGCTGGGTATTCCAGTTGCAGCTGTAAATATGTTTTACAGACCAGATATTCCAAAAGGCACATTAGATTTGTCGTCTTTTGGGGATGGGGCTTCTGAGAAGCAGCTGGGGAGGGGATCAGATAAGTGCAGTGAACTACGATGCCTCAAAGTGACCTCTTAGTTTCCCCAGTAACTCAGACTGCGTTCTCAAGTGAAGCTTTCTGGTCATGAATATTGAATGTGCTGAAGAGTTTAAGGCTAATATAACTTAAACTGTCTAAGCTTATTTTCAGCGCTTTCGGGCTCAAGAAATCACGTTGTTAGGACTTGTGTAATGGTTGCTGCTACACTTGCTAATTATTGCTTTTAAGTCCCTTGGGGTGATATCCAATGTCATGAAAATGAATGTCCCCTTGTGTGACAGGACTTCCTCTCCTTTTCCTTCCTTCAACAGCCCTCCATCTGCTCTGCAGGATCCCCAAACCTCTGGAGATAATTTGGGAATTGCACTTTGGCCTTAGAAGGAGGGGGACCCTCAAACAGCGTCTATCCTGTTGGTGTTGGGTATCACACTTGAGCTTTTTTGCACAGTGTTTCCTGGTGTACTCATCAGTGACAGAGTTATGTTGAAGATGTACTTGTTTTTTAATATTGATATCTCAATTATTGATATTAATTAATAAATTGGCAAGGAGGGCCATATCATGTAATTTCTGTCCTGGGTAACGTGTGCAGTTGGGTAGCTTTTGGATGAAATGTCTGGATCACAAAGTGCTCTTTAGCAAGCCTTTGATGTATGATGCTACACTGCTGCGAGTAATTCATGTTTATAATCAAAGAATAGCCCAAGGACTCAGTTCCATGTAGGTGATACTTCCTAGGGATTTTTTTTTCCTCCTTCAGAATAAGACTCTCATAGGGCTTACTTATTACCCTCTGATGCTAAATAGCCATGGGGAGGAAATGGTTGTGAGAAACATCATGTTCCTTTTCAGCAATTCATTTAGTACTGTGAAAGAAGTAATTTCAGTTGCCGGTTGTAAAGAAATAACTGAAGATGTTAGCTCATGGTAGTGAGTTATTGACCTGTGTGAGAATAGTATGAAGAGCACATCATTTTTCTGATACGAGTCAAGATAATTTACTGGGGTGAAAAACAGGAAATTAAATTTACTTATTGGGGTGAAAACAAAGAAGTAAAATTTACTTTGTTTAGCATATAACTTTCATGGTCATCCAGTGACATATGGGGAAAAACAAGAATTCTTTCTAAACACGTGCACATGTATGTTACGCTTATTCCTGGTTTCCTTATACTCTTATAAAAGAAGAGGATTCATTGTCCTTTATACCTCTTTCAAGATGCCAGTAAAGTAACTTTCAATGTCCCTTCTTCTTCTTTCACCTTCTTTGGATTTTTGTAATACTAATTTTCTGGCTAAGCTTACAGAGTAGTCTACTCATCTTAGTAACTCTAGGCAATGCCCAGGTCATTTCAAGACGAAAAGTGAAATACAAGATTTGGTTGGGCATATGCTACATGTGGAGGGGACCACTTACTTCTGTGAATTCATTATAGCAGGTGTTCTCAAATTGTGGTCCACAGACCACCAGTGGTTCATAGGGTTCATTCAGGGGGGCTGAATTGTAGAAATTGTAGAGTTGGAAGGGACCCCAAGGTTCATCTAGTCCAACCCCCAGCAATGCACGGCACATTACAATTGCTACAACAGGCAGAAAATTCATTAAGTTGTATACCAGTGCTCTCAGCAATGGTTTCTTGCCCAGTCACCAAAAGTAAGAATAGACCACCAAGTCACCCAGTCCAACCTTCTGTATAATTTCTTTGCTGTTAACAACTAGGAATAGCTGTGAAGGAGTTCCTTTTAATCACAATATTAAGTGCCCAAATTATTATTCTGTTGTGTCAGACTGTATCTGGAGTATTGCGTCCAGTTCTGGGTCCCACATTTTAAGAAAGGAAAGTATCCAGAGGAGGGTGGCCAGCATGGTGAGGAGTATGAAAACCAAGGCCTGTGAGAAATGCTTGAAAGAGCTGGGCATGTTTAGCTTGAAGAACAGAAGGTTAAGGGGAGGTGTGGTAGCCATCTTTATATATCTGAACAGATTTATTCTCTTGCTGCAGAGGGGAAGACAAGAACCAATGGATGTAAATTGCAGGGAAGTAGTTTTCAGCCAAACGTAGTGGTAAGTGTTGTCCAGTAATAAAACAGGGCACCTTGGGAGGTGATAGGCTTTCCTGAATTGGAGGCATTTCTGCAGAGACTAAATCAACATCCATCAGGGATGCCATAGCTGCATCCTGTATTGCAGATTCTGCACTGAGCAGGGGATGAGCTAGTTGAAATCCAATTTCCCTTCCTGTTCTATGATTCTGTGAAAGAAAAGGAAAATGTGTACACTAAGTGTATCCTCAAATGTAGCATTTGCTGATTCTGGTGCCTGGAAAAGATACTGAAACCAGAATGCATACACAGCAAGAGCCACAAATGAGGCAGGTATATGTACCTCAGCAGAAGATGCTGTCCTTATTTTATCAAATAATTCCCAGTTGAATGCTCAAATTGTGTCTGGCTTAGAATCTGTGTTGTCAGTGACTAGGCTCGCACAACTTTCTGCCAATTAAGTTGCAATATAATTAAAGTACAAATTAAGTTTAGATGCCCCATCTGTCCTTCATTCTGTGTTACATCCAATCTTAAAACTATACTGAGGTTGTATGTACGTTTTCCATGCATAATTTTGTTTTATTAAATTCCTTAAACTGCTATTTCTTTAAAAGACCAAGGTGTCTTGCAGAAGATTATAGTATACAAAATTAAAACAAAATGATACAAAGCAGTATTAACAATATTCCCCAGAGTGGCTGGGGAAACCCAGCCAGATGGGTGGGACATAGATAATAAAATTATTAATAATAATAATAATATCACCTCAACAAACAAACAAACAACAAAACAAAACAGGGATGATCAGTTTAAAAAGCCACAAAAGCAAACATTGCATCAAATCCCTGAAACGTCTTGATCTGGCATCAAAAAGATGACAAAATCAAGTGCCAGGTGGCATCAGGTGGGCATAAGAATAAGAATAATCAATGAGATATTAAAATATAGGAAGGAACTGCTATTGGGAACTAATATATAGTTAAAATGTTAGAATGCAAAAGCTCATTCTGTAGTAGTCTTAGTTAAAGGAAGTCATATAGCCTTAGAGCCAGAGAAATGTTGATGGAAGAGGGGTGGTAAAGATAAGATCCCCTCTAGAAGCCTCCAAGCTTCCTTCTATGGCCAGGCACACTTTGAAGGTGGGATTGCACTTTCAGGAAAAGGAGCTTCTTCCTTCTCCCTCCACCCACAGTAGAGGGTGTTTGTTTCTTTTTTGGAGGGGCAGGGGGACAGTAAGGGGTGGGATGGTGAGAGAAGGTGACATTCTACCAACCCCCTTGTGCTGGTGCTTCTCTGCATCCAAGCCATAGATTTCTATAACGCTTTACTAGTTCTTTAAATATTAGACCGAAAGTCAAAGGCAGAATCATTTAAAGGTACTGATTTATTTGTCAAGGAGTTTCCTTCTTTGGGTAGTTGCTCCCTTTGATATTTGTGTCACTGATGCCATAGCTCTACAAGGTAATGTATTCTGTATCTGCAGAGATATCCTGGCCACAGAAACCTTCATTTAGGTAGAAACAAGCCAGATATTTGTGTGTGTGTGTGTGTGTGTGTGTGTGTGTGTGTGTGTTTCATCCTTCTGCCCCTTTATTTATTTATTTATTCTTTTTTTAAAAACCTCACTAACTTTTATACTGTTCACACCACACTGTCCCTACTGGAAAACATACGTGCAGTTTTATGCTTCAGTTCATGATCCCAATTCTCACTACATTTTATTTCCTATTTTTTGCTTCTCGTAAGTGTTTTTTCTCCAGTGTTTGAGTACTTCAGGTTGGCAGTAGGTCATGGAAAATAATCTTCCTTTTTGAAAAGCTACTGAGCAGGGGATGTATAACTTCTGTGGGTTTGTGTAGTGCAGAGCACAATACTGTGGATTGTGCTGTTCCATGAATGCAAGCAAGCCATCTCTGTTAAGTGACAGGGTTGGATCCAACAGCAGTTCCCAATGGTGAAAGTGTGTATGTGGAAGGATGATATTTTTTTTTGCTGAGTTCACCTCCTTCCTGCAAGCCTCCAGACCACTTCTCATAATGTTCTGAAGCACCCCCACCCACCCACTATCTCCGGTGCAGGTTATCAGAGAGACAATTATCCCATGAGCAGAAGCCAGAGTTTCTAAACACAAGAGGAACGCTCATTCACATGAAGGGGGTGTTTTTGCACATTGAAGGGCTGTTTACACCTGCACTAGAAAGCTGTGTGAGACAAGTGAACCCAAATCCAAATATGTTCTTTTAGTTTCACAAGCAGTTGTGCAAGGTCTTTCAGAAGCTTGAGTTACTGACATGACAAGGATCCTCTTTTGGACCAACACTGCTGCGCTTTTACTCCTCCCCCACTCATTTTCTCTTTTTTTCTAAGTGTTAAGCTATGAAAAAGCATTTCCTTTATGCTATCTAGCATTTGCATGTATTTTTATTTTTTTGCACATTGATCAGGAGCCAGTTTGACCTTAGTAGCCCAATGGTCCTGCTGAACTATTTTAGCAAAAAATTGTTGGGTAATACATGGTTTCATCATGTACAAAATTTCTTGGAATCCATTCAACTGTTGGCTTATACAACAATAAAGCCAATGGATCAATAGTTCTTATAAAGTGATTAGCTTCAGTAAATAAGAACCTGGAGAAAATACTGAGTTAAAGGTTAAAGCGTAAATAAGTTGGAAAATACCACCTGAAGAGTCTAGGCATACAAATACCCTGTTATTTTTACATCTGTGTATTGTGTATTGCATATTTTAAATGACTGCTTGCTTCCAACATATTTTCCTTTAGTTAAAGCAAAATATAGAAGTGTTTATGAATGAACTACACAGGAAAGGGCTGTAGCTCAGCGACAAAGCACATTCTCTGCATAAAGAAGGCCCCAGGTTATTATTTTTATTGTTGTTTTCTATCCTCTGTGTCTTCACGTAGTGTTGGGAAGGACTCCTGATGTGCTGCCAGTCAATGGTGGTTGTTTTCTTTCTAATACAGTAAAAGATTTTATTGATTTTTCAACAAAATATGAACAGAGCATTAAGTTTCTTCCAGCTTCATCCCCCTGTTTCTGGAACAGAAGATGAACCTGCCAGATTTTGCCATAAGCCCGCTTGCAAAGTTGGTGGTTGCCAGTCATCACAGTGTTCCTTTGGATATTTTATAAATATTTTGATAAAACCATCTACATCATACATGTTGTTCAAGGCAGGCACCCTCTTTGTCAGTGTCTCAGATAAGCCAATTGCCCATACATTCTGTCACTATTGTGTGATGTGTTTAACCTGGTGAGTAGCTAATAGGCAGATTGTGAAATCTTCCAACATGGTGTAATATGTGTATAGTGTCCCACAAAGCATCATAGTAACTGGGTTATGAAGCTTCTGAACCAGGCACAAGGGTAGCACATGACAGTAGCCTAACTGTGAGGTTATATATATATTGATCACCATGTCAAAGCTATTCCTGTCCAGGAATAGTTATAGTTCATATTAGATAATGGGATAAACATGGGAGGAAGTGTAGTTATAGACAGAGGCTTCAGGCAAACAGGTCCCACTGCGCCTAGCAATTCCTTCTTGGGATACCGCAGAACTCATTTCTACCTGCCTCTATGGCTTTAAGGAGACGTCTTTTTTTTCCAGAAAAAAAGAAAGAAAAATGAGCCAGAGTGTTCCAGTAAACCCAGTCTCAATTCCTCAAGCCCAGTAGCGTAGCCTGTGATCCAGCATTTTCCCAATAGCAGTCTTGGAGATTTCTCTGTTTCCCTGCCTCTGTCTCCAAGCCTCTGCCAGCCCTGACAAAGTACAGCGGTATCTTTTGTAGGTTTTTAAAGAGATGGCGTTCTGGCATACCTTTCTTGTGCAGGCCACCCCAACAATGATTATCTGGATTTTCTTTCAGTAAGGAAATAGCAGTAGTTGTGTTTAAATGACATACCCTTTTGGGTGGGTGGTGTATATGTCTCCTGAAGCAATCGTGCTCTGCTTTTTTCTGCTTTTTTCACAGAAATTTTCCATGTGATTCTAACTGTATAGGGTAGAGTTAAAGCTGGAAAATAAGTAAAAGGAAAAAACCCCTCTTGACTTTGGCTTAGTGAATCGTAATTACATGGAATATCCCCTTGTGACCTGGCATTTTCAGAGCCAAAGGCTTATTTCAGTGAGATCTATTAGGCTGAAGAGCATTTTCCCAAAGGAGATGGCAGAATCTCTGATATTTGATATATTTAAAAGTACACTTGGGAGGTAGCTAGAAAAACCTTAACTACAGCTGGGGCCAATTTGTGTGTTGTCAAAGGCATGGGCTCAAGGGACCATTAGGAACATGTAAAGGTGCCCTAGACCTAATCAGACCTTTGGTACATCTATATTGGCATTGTCTGTAGTGACTGGCAGTTGGCTCTCCAGGGTTTCTGACAGGAACCTTTCCCAGCTGTACCTGGAAATGTCAGGGATTGAACCTGGACCTTTTGCATGCACAGCATGTGCTCTACCACAGAGCTATGGCCTTTCCCTGCCTGGCTTGCATGAATTTCCAGCAGGAAATGAGGTCTGCCAGTGTGATTGTGGTCAAACATTTACTTATTCTTGGAGCACACTGATTATTAACATTCATTCCAATCTGGCTTTCACCCTCAGTTTTGCCTTGGTGAGTCAATGGATGTTGGGAGTGCAAATTTGCTAGTTCTCTTGCATTCACTTCAACTGGGTCAGTTCAACTACTCAGTGAGTCACCTCCACAAGGTTTCTTTTAGTTGTGACTTCTACATTCTGGTCTTCTTCATGGAGCCTGTAATTCCAGTAGATGATTTCTTTCTGCCTTTGGAAATTGGCTGGAACTAAGACAATAAATAAGTAACACAGATTAATTAAATCAACTTTCACTCTTCTTTGGTACTAAGTTATTATACACGAAATTGTCCAGATCTGATAAATCTGACAGGTGTAATCAGTGGTTGTTTAAAGGCATTCAGTACCATTTCCCATTTCCGTGTAATGAGCTCTTTTGAGTAAGAGCCACCTTCATCAGATGCGACTGGCGACATGGGCTCTGGCCATAAATATATTCATGCCACAGTAAACCAGTTAATTGCTAAGAACACCGTGTTCTCATAGGGTTTTTTTTGTCACTATAAGTTTCATTCTTTTGTCTTGGACCAAAATCTTTGTTTCCAAGGCCATCACTATACTCCAAGAGCTCTATTAAGTCCCTAGGCAATAATGCTGTGATGTCTGTATAATTACACTATCATAAATTTAATAAACTACAGATTGCTCATTTTCTGAACACATAAAGTGCAAATTGCAAAATGCATTTGTCCTTCCCTATGCTGAACACTTATAAGTACGTGGTCTTATTCCGCTCCACCTTCAAAATTTAAAAGAGAGGATATATCTAGTTCATGTTTATGCTGTAGTTTGATTAAAGTTGGAATTGTTTATTTTTGTGTGTGTGCAGCATTTTTGAGATGTGGGGGGTGTTCTTTTGGCTATTGTTGAGTCTTCAAATCATAGTGCCAGATTCTTTCACAATGGAATGACTGAAACAGAAAAATTGAAATGATAGCAATTGTAAATGTTTAAATATTTTGTGGTATTTCAAAGAGATACAAAGGTTTGTCCCATTCTTTAGCACCACAAATGAACCAGAAGTGCACCTCATATCAACAAGGAGTTCGGACTTCCATGTATAGTGGGCCCAACTCTGTGGAATCCCCTCCCTTCAGAAATCAGGCTGCTGAGCTTCAGGTATAGAAGGTTTTATTTCAGTAGGCCTTTGCATTTTGAACATTGCTCTAATGTTTCTATTTTATGATGTTTTAGCATATGTTTTGAACCTTGCACATTGTGTGATTTTGTTGCTTCTTTTCTGTAAGTCATTTTGAGACATAGTGAAAAGTGGGGTGTGTGAATTCCTTAAATGAATGGATAAATACAAAACGTCTCATTTTCAATTTCTCATAAGTAAAATAATCAGGTAGTAATAGATGTTGTTCTAATGTTCCACACAAGTGCTGTCCTGGAAAGGGAGAGGATAGAGAATCAGACCTAAGAACAGGCATTTATCTGGATGCTCAAAAGGTCATTGGCAAATCTCATCTGGTAAAGCAACCAGCTATGCTTTCAACATTTAATTTCCCCCAATATCATCAAAAAGGAAATTAAGCTAAAACAAATATAGATCCATACTTTTTTTTGAGGCTGGGGGAAGCAATATGTTGAGATGCAATGCATGGTTGACAACTTTGTTATCTAGTCAGCAGACCACCTGGCTTGTGGCACATTAAGAAGCTTCTAGTACATACTCCCTTTTCTTCCCTTTGTCTCCTTCTCCTTCCTCAATAAACAATCAGAGAAGTGTGAAGGCAAATTTCCAGGCAGTCCTCGGTATAATTCTTCTGTGCTGCTTTGCAATCTCCTTTCGAATGTGGTGGGATAATAAATCCACAGTGTGTGTGCAAGCCCCTGGGTGAGCATATAACCTGCAAGAAGTAGTTTTCTGTTGTAAACCGATTACCTCTAAGCAGGCAAGAAAAGGAGGGTTAGTTATTCCCACAACTCCTAGCCATAATGAGGTTGAAGGATGTGCTGTGGGATACATAATTTGCCGTGTTGTAATACTTTCAAAACTTGTTTGGGCCTGTAAGATAGTTCACTTGATATTTAGGATTGAAATAAAATCAACCAGGTGCCAGATCAATGCTTTTGGGCTGCGGCATATACCCATGGCAGTGTCTGGGGCATTTCCCAGCCAAAGGAATGCACACACAGTTAACTCTTTATTGTCAAAACTGATACAGTAGCTTCTATGGCTCTGAATACCCACCCAGGCAACTATTCCCGGGTCTGCACTCTATGGAACAGTTGCAACAACAGGGGGGGCACACTCCCCTCCATCAGTTTATGTACCCCCCCCCCACATGGGCTGTTTGCACACAGCTCCCTCTACTCATCTCTCTACAATCTCCTCCTGCAGTGGTGTGGAAGCATCCGACCCTTCACTTGCCTGGCCTGTCTCTTTTTCATCTTTTGACCCCATTCTGTGCTCCACCCTCCAGCTTTGAGGCTTCCCTTGCCTCTCACTCTTGCCTCCTGGCTGGTACCGTTCCCTACAAATCACTGACCCCCTCTCTTGATTCAGACTCTAGCCTCCCTTCCCCCCGGTGCACACTAATCAGCATCTTGCCAGCCCCTGACATGAGGCATCCAACTAACACATTCCATAAGTGCAAAGATTTGTGCTTGTGCAAAAAAATCACCGCTCTGCCCTCCACAATTCCTAAACCTGTTCTAGAGGTTATCCCAACCTTCTGTAGCAGATTTGGGGAGGGTGTGGGGGTGCACAGGAAGAGGAGAGGGGGAAATGTTCTGTTGCACGAGCACAAATCTTTGTGCTGACATGATGTGTTAATTAGATACTACCCATAATCTCCACTGGGTATAGAGTCGCTTCATACGTGCAGTTAACTCAGGCAAATTCAGGTATATGTACAGTACTTGGCAAAAAAGTGCTCTGCAATAGGAAGCCTACTGCAGTAGTTCCTGCAAAAGCATCTAGGAATCTTTTGTTTTCCTTCTCCTTCCCTCTAACTAGCATCCCACCCTCCAATTTTAGTATTCACGCCCCCCCCCCAAGTGCTGGAAGGTCCAGCAGTTGCCAATCAAATATGGTGGTGGTTAGGTCAGCCTTTAGGCAGGGGCTTCCCCCCAGCTTGCCAAGAGGTAGCCACTGCCTGTCATGGCCCCACCAGCTCCCGAACCGTCTCCCGGTCCACCAGTTCACCTAGCTCTTGCTTGCTGGCCTCAGGAAGGCGCAGTGACCGAGGGAGGAATAGGTGGAGGCATGGCCTCTGCATAAACAAACAGTTGGTGCCCTCAAGATTGACCGGGAAGTGAAAGTGAGCCAGAAGACCCCTTGTATCCCAGGGCCCCCTCCCCAACCACAGGGCATTCATAAGTGGAGTGTACTTTGATGAATTTTCAAGCATACTGTGATTTTTACGGTTTGTGTTTTTCGCTTTATTCGCCGAATTTAGAACCTACTCCCCACGTAAAAGCTGATTCTGCTGCACTCTGTGGATGTTAATATAGGAAAAGAAATCCAACTAAAATAAGAGAATGAAGCCTGTCAGCTATTTACAGCTGGGTAGTTACCGAATTTTTCTAATAATGATGCAGGCTCTTCCTAAAACTGCTTTTGTTTCTGTTTTAACTAACTGAGTAAATTAACTTCCAGGCACTCATTTTGACTCAAAACACCATGTGCCCATGGATCTCCTCAGTGTGGAGGCTTCCTCATATGTTTCAAATGGAGACGGGAGCTCTACTGCTTAGTTATGTGATTACAGGCATTTAATATCTCCGGTAAAAATTGAATGTCCCATGCCAAATGCTCTGGGCAAGTTTCTTGACCTTTTCATTCACTTAAAAATCTCTCCAGCATTTTGAAATTATTTATACCCTCTTTAGGCTCTTCAGCTGGGTTTAATTCTTGCCGAGCAAATGTTGCAATTGCAGCTAACACAATTCATGCAATTCTCTGATTGTATCAATATGCAATACAGTGGTACCTCGGGTTACGTACGCTTCAGGTTACATACTCTTCAGGTTACATACTCCGCTAACCCAGAAATAGTGCTTCAGGTTAAGAACTTTGCTTCAACATAAGAACAGAAATCGTGCTTTGGCGGTGCGGCGGCAGCAGGAGGCCCCATTAGCTAAAGTGGTGCTTCAGGTTAAGAACGGACCTCCGGAACGAATTAAGTACTTAACCCGAGGTACCACTGTATATTTGTACGCTTCCTTCTCTGCAAGGAGTGTTTCATCTTATTATTCTACTGTCTCCAGAAACACTTTTTTTTTGGGGGGGTGGGTAAATAGAGAGAATACTGGTTTTAAATTTGCTTTTTCTTTTGGCACATGACCAGTGGTTGTATTGATGGAGGCAATGATTAAAAATAAAGTTATAATGAACACAGCTAAAGCTATTTTTTCTGCTTTGTTTTATTTCAGTATGAAAAAGCAGAAAAATAATAATATAAACCCAAACAAGTTTTGAAAATATAACAGCAGTGTACATTTCTGAAAATACAGAAATGATTTTTTAGAAGTACATTTATCATGGTATTTCTTTTAATTTGCACTCCTGCTGTACTATAAATGTAATAACCATCAAAATGAAAAATGCAACAGATTGATAATACCATTGAGTTTTAATTAAAGCACTGAATTGAAAAAGGCCCAGATGGATAACAGGATAATGTAGTTATAACCCTGTTATGAAAAATGCTGGGCTGCCAGTTATAGCATCTTATAAATAAAATGTATGCCAAAATAACATAGTTTTTTTTTAGAAGACTACCCAAAAATTAATCATTTAAGTCTGCAAAACAGATGGTTTCTCTGTTTTATTTGGTTTGTCTGAAAGGCACAGATCTCTTTAAATCAGTAAATGTTCCTTTCCTCCCAATTGCCCAAATCCCTCTCCAGCTACTCCATCCAGTTCTGTCACTA